TGTTTATACGTAGTAGAAACAGTTATGATCTAACGTATCAGCATGCTTTTGTAGTTTCGTGTGTGCATAAAAAAAAAATTTAGTTACTGTTATTTGAACAAAGTCGTACGTAGAACAAAAGCAGCTGAGATATATTTACAATACAAACTAGTTGTATAATTGTCAACGCATATGCATGGCTAACTAGTTGTGTAATTGTCAACGCACATGCATGGCTAACTAGTTGTGTAATTGTTTAACAATTATGTACTGTACATATGTAAATTGGAAATCGATCATCGATCAATGTTCTAAACTAATCGAGTATTCGAGTATTCGAGTATTCGTCAAAAAAATTTTTTTTTGTAGATCCCGCCATTCTCAACCATTTCGAAAACAGCGATAATATTATAAATTTATTTAATAAGTTTAAGAATTATATAAAATTTAAATCAATAAATAATAATCTTAAAAAGTATAGACTGTCTCTAAACACAACTAATAATAAATATTTGTTGATATTTTAATATACAAACAAAGAAAGTTTTTATAATTTTCTATCTTTAAATTTTAAAGATCTTAATTAGAAAAGCAAATTAAAGCAATTTATCAATATATTTAGCAATCTAGCTAATATTTATAGATTAAAATATGTTTATAGAAATTTTTATAGCAAAAATATATTATAAAGTCAATATTCTAATAGAACTTAATATCCTATATTGCAAATCTAGAATTATTTAGAAAAAAAGATGATATAGCATTTTACTTTATATTGCTTCAGAAGTATTAAATAAATATCCATATATAATAGCAGCTAATATTTATAGTTTTGGTATAATTATAGCTGAAATATCTATAGGAAGACCTTATTAAGATACTGAGTATAATAAAATATTAACTATTTAAATTTATAATAAATTACTTTTTGAATTTGCTAAAGGTACTTCTGAATAATATATCTAATTAGCAAATAAATATATAGATGCTAATCTTTCTAATAAACCAATTGCATTTAATACTATAAAAATTATTTAAGTGTTGAGTAAAACCCTATTTAGGGTTCTGCTTTTTATAGTGCGCAATTGTGATATTTTTAGAAGGATTTGTAATCGTAATAAGTATAGTTTTACTCTTATTGTGACATTTTTTTAGAAGAGTTGGTGATCATAATTAATATACTAGCACCGTAGTATTATATTTTATTTTTTTACAGTGCGATAGCATTTGTATGATACTGTATAGCACAATTATGATCTCTTTAGCTAATTTAATATACGTTGTATTGAGCTCCTGATTCTTATGTGTGGATTTAGGTGTTTGTCTATAAGCATGATTTTTTCAGGGTTGTTAGTGTTTGTTTTAGTAGTATCAAAGTATTGATCTTGTTATATAGGATATATTTCGTTATATCATGATAGTATGTAACAATTGTTATGTCTTTAATAGGGTTTGTAACAGACTTAATAGAGCTCCAAATAAAATTTAATAAATCATTGCCATTGGATCTATTCAGAGCTTCTGGTTCTTAAACAATTGATTTTCGCGAATATTTAGGCATCGATTTGAAAAAAAAAAAAAAAAAAAAATGTTATCACTTTACCAGATTGGCATATGCTTTTCGTGTCAAAAATGCATGTTTTGTTCTGCTAATCTCATTATAGATTTGTATGAATATGATATTAATATAAAGCCTTCTCATGCTAAGACCAATTCTCAGCAAATTTACAGTCGAATATATAATCCTTATAAAACCTCATCTAATCAAAAACAGTTACTTCGACACTATGATCGTCTCTTCGCTTATAACTGTAATTTTAATACATCATTTAATATAAGTTTCTGCTCCGTCTGCCATTCGCAGTACAAACGTGCTAAGAGTTCTGAAGATTCAAGCATTAGCGATGATGATGATAACTATGATGATGATTTTTCAGCTTCATTAAAGGAAAGCTCTTCTTGTTTACAACTAAATTCTAAAGTTATAATTCAGGTTGAAAACTCTACCTCTATGCCTGCAAAATGGTTTACTTTTAATTCAGATAAATTTTCTATTTTTCGTAACCAACTTACTAATCATATTTGTAAGTGTACCGGTACTAATAATATTAACATTAACGATGATATTAAAATTACTTACAAAGTAAATAGCCACGGTCAATAAATGGCGTTAGAGGATGATGATGATTACGATGCTTTTATAAGAGAGTTTCAGAAAATAAAAAAGTCAACCAAAAATATAGTTCTGTATGTTACACTAAACTCCTCCGATAATCATGATATAAAAAAAAGAAAAAAAAGATTAAGGTATGATATTAATATTTTTAATATACAATTTAAAAAGGGTCAATATTAATACGGTCAAAGAGGATATACAGTATATCTGTACTTAGCTTTTTATAAATTAAATATCCCAATATTTATAGGATTCGTCAGTAATTAACATTGAAGATTCGGATTCTGAAGAAGAAAAAGTAAAAACTAAAAGAGCAAAAAAAAGTGATCGTATGCTAAAAGAGGAAAGGCTATCATCTAATGAAGTCGAACTGACCAATATCATTACCCAACTCCGCTCCAAGTATCAGTGCGGTATACATAATATTCTGTGCTATATAGAGGATGGTCGACACCTCCCTCTTAACCCTGCCCAGCTTCATCTGTGGTCTCAAGACATAGTATGGTTATTTAATTTTACGTAATACATAAGATATTATATATTAAAACAGCATTTTGAGTAATGGTAAATCAGATTTAAATGTTAAAAGTTTTTTTTTCATTTTGTGATCTGCATATATGATTAGCTATTACTTATGCTAACCTTTTTTTAAAAGGAAATTGTATAAAAAAGGCTGTTTTAATATGTAACACCTATATATGTAACATATTAACAAATACATGTATATTTTTAGAAGATGAAAATTACCGATTTAGACACACCACCCACATACCCATCGTTTGGATTAACTCATGCCTTTAAACCTAATACACAAAGATCGCAATCACAATCACAGTCTACCGATACAGAAAATATATTAGGCCCTAATTTTGTTTCAGATCTTCAAGAATGTCTTGACCTTCTTACAAATGTTTTGAATTCAGCTAGGAGTCAATAACAAAGTCTTGTATTATGTATTATTGTTAGTATAATAACAGGTAGAAAAAATATAATGCATTTTATATTATACTATATACATATCATAGAATAAATTTTGATTATATATTATAAGCGAAAATGGGGCCTTACTTATGTCAATTCCCTTAATACTTCATGAACTTAAATGCCATACTTCGATTAATAAGTACTCTATACTCGCCTACAAATTATCATGAATAAAATTAAATATTCGCTGACTTAACCTATCTGCGATTTTTTTAGAAAAATCGTGACTTGTAGTAACAGAATGTGTATGCCCTGAGTCATAATAGTATTGTGAGGCTAAGTCTGTGGCGAAGGCTTAGAAGTTTAGATCTGCATAATTATTTATTATTCCTGTTTATTTTATATCTATAGATTCTTTTTATTTATTTATTATTGTATAGTATAAGAGTTAGACATGTACTAAAGCTTAGAGATGTTCTCAAATGGAGGTAAAAGGAAGGGTTAAATGTGAAAGCCTAGTATGATATTCCAGGAATGGGCTTAGGAGGCATAGGTTTGATCAGACTAAGGTTGGTAAGATTAACAAGATTATAAAAACAAAGTATAGACATAGAATTAGGAATATAAATATACCTAGCTCCTTGTTGTAAGCCTTTAATGTATTCTGAAAATATAAAAGAGCTGTCTTTTCGCTCTTTAAATAAAACTTTAGACTTTGATGTCTTGGTTATAAGGGATATAAGAAGAATCGATTTCTTAATATTGTTATACGTTTTAGTGTTGTATTTATTGTTTTATTATTTTAATTGTTAAGTTTCTTAATGATCGTATTACATTTTCGTTATTACCCTATTACCTTATAAGTATCGACCCTTAATATCGGTCGTACTGATGATTACTGATTTATTTAATTACTATTACTTGATTTATTTATTTGATTGACTACCAGTAGATATAATTAAGTGCCCCGATCTTGATCAATCAAGGGATAATATAATAAAGTTAAATAAATCAAGCAGTATAGTCTAATTAATTACTGCAAGTTTAACAATGATGCGGGTATTTAAGGAATTTTAAGATTACTAACAATAGTTAACGGATATCATTTAAATAACGCCAAAATAAGAAATTTAATAGGACCGTAAAGGTGTATTCATGATAAACGATTAAAAATAATGCCGTGAAGATGTATTTACAATAATATAACAATATAACAATGTGATAACAGTGAGAATTCTATAATTTTATAAATATAGGTTTTCAAGTATATAAGAGATCGAAGTCTGGGGAAACTTGATTAAAGGTTGAAAATTGGGTCTTTAAATACACGATTTGGTACATATAAATTAATACATTACTCAATTGTCAGGCTATCCTTTCCTCCATTATTTATCTTACACCTTCCATAAAACCTTTTTATCTATCTTTCTCTACAACAAATTACTTTGTTTTCCCATTAAACACCTCCCGTTACTAAGTTTGATGATTTATTTAACACAAGAAAAGATTCAACCTTGTTGATGATTTTACTATCGAACGACTTTACGTCTATAAGCTATAGAGTACAAAATAGGAAATAGATAATCTGATAAAATAATACTAAATAAGAAAAAAAAGAAAAAAAAAATAAAGTGGTACAGTTAACAGTTCACGACATATAATCGACATATAACAGAGGCACGAAAAAATTCACATAACGATAGTAACAAGTTTATTTAAAATAACTTGATTCCCTAAAAAAACCTGCTGCCATTTCAGGAGTTATTTGAGCACATGCGACCATAAGCGCATAAAATGGATCTGATGTGGCATTTATGAATTCTCTATGTCGACGGATCCAGTTTTTAATAGTACTGAAAGCCGTCTCTATGGGATTGAAATTGGGCGAATATGGTAGTAAAAAGACAATACGACAACCAAGCTCCTCTATAGTATTGATAAGAAATTCGTTATGGTGAATCCTTGCATTATCAAGAATGATAACGCTGTTTTTACCAGGAAAAGGATTCATAATAGGAATCTATTGTTAAGTATATTATTATTATATTTATTATTATATTTATTAAAAACAATTTAAATATAGATAAATTTAATTAACTTACAACTTGAGACAAAATGAATTCACAAAACTGATTTTTGTTGCAACTATTTTCTAAAATTTCGACTGCCAGAAAACCATCTAACGATAGAACAGGCAAAATCGTGTATCTTTTTCCACGAATAAAAATTATGTTTTTGCATGCACGAACATTTTTAAGTGCATAACTGTAGTGCCTATTTAAACTACGATCATCTTTCGTGGCTTCGTCTATAAAAATCAACTAGTCAGGATGATAATTTTCCCTAATATTTGCAAGAAAAGCACTTCGAAGAAGCTCGCTTCTTCCGGATACCATCTTTTGCAACTAATTAAAATTTAATTAGTTTTAAAAATTAGGTTTAATGGTCAAGGGTAGTGATACGGGTTGACCTGGCCCAACGGCCGGGTCGATGGGCGGGTCGACCCTCAGCCTGCACCTTTGTAGCCCAGGTCGGTTGATAAGAGAAGTGTTAGAATCATTTCTCTTTTAAGCATATTTTCAGGCTAGAAATTGAATAAAAATCGGCTAGTCGTTTATAATAATATAAGAGAAGTTAGCTTATTTAGGTGATAAATTAGCAAATAACAAATATAATATAAGGATCTGTGACATAGACAATCAACCAACAAATGTTCATAGTATAGACAATTATTCAACATAAAATACTAACGTGCCAAAATTTTCTCAGACAAAAAGAATAAAGTTTAAATCGTTTAACATCACAAGAGTCTGACAAGAAACCTGATGGCCTTTTGCATGTTTAATATAGATATGTTGACTGATTTTTGATCAGAAAAAAATTACACTAGATCAGCCCAGTTAACCGGCCCAAGCTTTTTTAAGATCGACCCCGGCCTACGATTTTTTCATCGACCCGTATCACTAGTCAAAGGAAAACCTGTCAATATATTTTGTACTGGAAACAATCTCTAACAAAATAAACAGAATTTGCCTGGTCCAAAATATAATTAAAGTCTGATGACAGGTTTTCCTTTGACCGTATATATTGATTATGTTTAATTTTAGCTACCTTCTTATGAGAAATACCACAGTATTTCAATGATTTCCATAAAGATGATATGGAAAGCCATTTGTTTGTACACATTTCCATTTCTATTAGAAGCTCGTCAAGGTACCAGTCTACCTTTTCATTAATGAGTCGTTTTAATATCTTTAATTCCTGATGCGTTTATTTTTTTCTATGGCCAGGTTGGCCTTTAAAGGGATTTGTGACGCATCCCCATTTTCTAAAGATAGATAGTATCCGAAAAACAGAAGCTTC